TGATATACTAATGCATTCTATTTTCTTTCTATTGCAGGGCGACCAAACATAAACTCTTTAGAGGAAGAAGAGCAAGCCCTATGTACACTAAGCTTACAGGATGACTCATAAGACTACTTTGTAAACTGACTCTTCCCGCTGTACTCTCGCGCACCGCGCTTTTTGATTGTGATTCCCACTGTGTTCTCTTTTGGTGTGAAGTCTTCGTTTAACATTGTGTGCTGTGCTGTTTTTCAGATCTGTCCTGCTGTTCTTTAACTGCTGATTTCACGTGTTACAACTGGTGATGGAGGTGTTCACTGAAAAACACGATGAAGACCTGAGCGAACCGCCGGTGATTCCAGCCAAGGCATCAACTGGCTCAGCTTCCCGTCAACCGCCACTCCTGGAAAACTCATCAGACTATACAGTGTGGAAGTTTAAAGTCACAGCCTATCTTCGTAAAGTTCCAGCCTCGGAACATTTCGATTATCTGGTGTCCTACCTCAGCGACGAAGCTACCAAGAGAGCTATGGTCAACGGGTTTGTGGCGACTAACACTCTCGCTCAGAACTGGAGGATCTTCGATGATTGTTTTTCGACGTCGGTGGATCCCCAACAAGCAGCCATCCAATTTTTGTCACGACATCAAGCACCTGACGAGAATCCAATAGATTATTTTAATTCTTTGCAACAGATGGCTGTGCAGGCGTTCCCTCGTCTTGATGCCACTGGACGAGATGAACTGATCAAGTCTTGGCTCGTGGAAGGGTTAATATCCAGTTCCTTAAAGGAACACTTCCCACTAAACCCGCCAGCAGATATAAATGACTTAAAAAGAACAACATTCCGGTTCATGACAACCGAAAAGCTAAAAAGCACAATAGACATGCACCAACCAACGGTGATGGCAGTAACACAACCACAAAAGCGAGCCGCCCAACGAACCCTCAACACATTTCAGACGTTAACCAGTTTTCCCACTGGAACAACAGTCGAAGACAATCCAGTCCCGCTGAGAAGAATTGGAGATCAACGGATAGTTATCACGGTCGCCAATCCGAATGCCCCTACTGCCGACGATTTGGCAAAAATGCAAGGAAATGTGGCCATAATCGTTCTGGTAACACAAGTAAGCCGTACTGTTATAAACAGTAAAGAGAGAGGATACTGGTTATAACTCTAGGGGTTCTGGTTATAACAGTCCTTTCACTTTTTGCACGTATGTGGGACGTTAATTTACCTTAGACGAATATCTACACTAGATTCCCACCCAGTGTCTATTCTAAAGGACTCAACACAACTCAGATCAAGAACACGAGATTAGCCTGACTATAACGTCAATATATTTCCACACCAAAATCCGACACAAGGAACAGTCAATCAATAACAGTCCATCAACAAGTGTCCATACATAATAAGAATAGGGTAATATATATAACACATAACACCTGTCATCCTATTTAATGTCTGACTCATCAAGACAACCAATCATTGTCATTCTCGCCCACACATCACGTACATTTTCCATTTATCTTCTTATGTTAATCATGTGCGCCCCATCACGATTAAAGGTAGAGTACAGGGTATCAATATCGAAATTTTATTAGACATCGGAGCGTCAGCATCTCTAATTAAGGACGAGCTTATAGGGAGGCTCAACCATAAAGTCCAACAAACGCGATACTCATCCACATTACTCACAGCAAGCGGAGACCCATTGAAAGTGAACTCTAAAGTATGGTTGGACGTAACGATAGATAGACATCTGTTCCGTCATAGATTTTTAGTTTGTCCGACATTGACTTGGGATATGATACTCGGAGTCAATTTCATGTTAGAACATAAAGCTGGTATATTCATGGACAGCTTGGAAGCGAAATTTGGAGAGACTAGAATACGTCTGCACCATACTGACGCGTTATTTAAAGCTGTGTCATATGTGGGGATCTCAGACCTGGTGCGGCAAGTAAACGGCAACCGAATACTAACAGAGAAAGATCGACATGCAACGATTGCCGTGCTTCAACAGTTTAGTTCGGTATTCGAAGAGAGTATTTCTGGCAATCGAACGAGTACGGTGCAGCACACCATTTGCACGGGGGACCACAGGCCACTTAGGCAACCGCCTCGTAGAGTGCCAGTACATTATCAACCACAACTGGATACGATGATAAAGGATATGCTTGACAAGAATATTATAATACCGTCATCATCACCCTGGGCATCACCTATCGTCCTGGTAAAAAAGAAAGATTCCTCTCTGCTACTCTGCATAGACTATCGACGCCTTAACGCTATAACTAAGCGTGACGCTTTTCCTCTCCCGAGAATCGATGCTATATTAGACGCCTTGAGTGGCGCACGTTGGTTTTCAACGTTAGACCTAGCATCAGGGTACTGGCAAGTGGAAGTCAGACCACAAGATAGAAAGAAAACCGCATTTGTAGTGCCAAATGGTTTATACGAATTCCAAGTAATGCCTTTCGGTCTAACGAATGCCCCAGCTACTTTCCAAAGATTAATGCAAACAGTTTTACAAGATATAGTACCTCATAAATGTTTGATTTATCTTGATGACATTATTGTGTATGGTAGCACATCCGAGCAACATAATGCTAATCTGAAAGCAGTTCTCCATCGCCTTCAACAACACAACTTAAAAGTAAAGCAGTCCAAATGTCGCCTGCTGCAGAAAGAAGTAGTTTTCTTAGGACATCGTATCACTGCAGATGGAGTAGTCACCGATAAAGAAAAGACACGTGTCATTGTTAATTGGCCACAGCCCAAATCACCTGAAGACGTTCGTAGCTTTCTTGGCTTAGCTTCTTACTCCAGACGCTTTGTCCACGACTTTGCATCGTTAGCAGTACCCTTACACCGTTTGACGCACAAAGGACGAAAATTTTTGTGGACTGCAGAGTGTCAATAGGCGTTCGATGCTGTGAAGACACGACTAAGCTCTCCACCCATATTAGCTGTTCCGGATACCTCAGCAAGCGGGGGAGAATTTATACTTGATACGGATGCCAGCTCCTCGGCTATTGGAGCAGTTCTATCACAAGTGGCCCCAGATGGGCAAGAAAGAGTCATTGCGTACGCTAGCCGTCGACTGGATAAGAACGAAACAAGATATTCGACAACGCGTCGAGAGATGTTAGCATTAGTAAAATTCTTACAACACTTCCGCCATTATTTACTAGGTAAACCTTTCCGTGTACGCACAGACCATCGTGCATTACAATGGCTCCGCTCCTTCCGCGAACCAGAGGGGCAAGTGGCACGCTGGCAAGAACGACTACAAGAGTTCGATTTCACATGCGAGTACCGACCTGGAAGCCGACATACAAACGCAGACGCTCTTTCCCGCATACCTCAAACCGCAGGTACTGTTAATGCAATTCTTAGCACAGCCCTGGAGATCGATCGGCCTTCCCTGCAAGCAGCAGACCCAGACATGCAGATTATATATCAAAGACAGTTACAGGGAAACAATAAACCATCCATGAAAGAGTTAAAGGATCAATCATTAACAATTCGTCGTATTTGAACTAAATGGAGTAATCTAAAATTATATGACGACACGTTATTCTTAATTAACGAAGAGAGACAACCTCTATTGGTAGTACCACGGATAAAGGTTGAGAGCATTGTGGAGCAGATGCACCGCGAACTAGGTCATGCAGGAGAACGAAGGATGGAATACGCGGTCCGCCAGCGCTTTTGGTGGCCATCCATGCATGAAGATGTAGTGTAAATTTGCAAAAATTGTAACACGTGCTGCCGTTTCAAATCGCCTCGACAGACACCTCGTGCACCGTTAACTCCGATGGTGACCACAGGACCACATCAGCGGGTCGGCATAGATATCATGGGACCATTAACAACAACAAAGAAAGGGAATCGCTACATACTGGTTATGGTAGATTACTTCACTAAATGGTGCGAAGCAGTACCCATTCCCCAGCAAGACGCTCTTACGGTTGCCCGAGCTTTCATCGATCATTAGGTTTCCCGCTATGGCGCCTCCTTCTCACTTCATTCTGATCAAGGTCCAGCCTTTGGAAGTCACCTCATCGCCAAAATATGCCAACTATTGGGAATCAGGAAGACACGAACCACTGCGTATCACCCAGAAGGTAACAGGCTGGTAGAAAGAACAAACAGAAGTATTAAAGCCATATTGCAAGCGTTTGTGAGCAGATCGTCTCAAGAGTTATGGGATGATGTCCTTCCTCAGTGTCTTTTAGCATATCGTACATCGGTACATGGCTCCATCGGGTTTTCACCCGCTATTTTATTATTCGGACATGAATTACGCTTACCAGTGGAGATACAGACGCCCCTGCTGCCCTGTGAAGAACAGGAGCATGTACCGTACATACGTACTCTCCGTAACCGCTTAGCTGATGCATACCGTTTGGTCAACAGCAATTTGCGCAAAGCTAGTGAACATCAAAAGGACTTGTACGATCGTCGGGTGCACGGATCAGTGTATAAGGTCGGTGATCGCGTTTGGCTACGTCGTACCATGACGTCGTCAGGGAGTTGCAGTAAATTCCACCAGCCCTGGCAAGGCCCCTTTGAAATCGTCCTCATCCGACCCCCCAATACGTTCGTATTATGTAACTTGCAACGACCCCAGGATGACGTGATAACTGTACACTATAACCAAATAAAACCAGATAGGATGACAGTTTCCTCGGATGACCAGTTCGCCAATCCACCGCCTGCCACTACGTTTTATGAGGTACCATCAGAAGGGGGGACAGCATATCCATGTCCGAGACCAGGCACTGAGGACAGTGCCTATTTAAGAGAGGGGGCGGTGTACCGGAGTTGAAATTGTTGTATGATATACTAATGCATTCTATTTTCTTTCTATTGCAGGGCGACCAAACATAAACTCTTTAGAGGAAGAAGAGCAAGCCCTATGTACTCTAAGCTTACAGGATGACTCATAAGACTGCTTTGTAAACTGACTCTTCCCGCTGTACTCTCGCGCACCGCGCTTTTTGATTGTGATTCCCACTGTGTTCTCTTTTGGTGTGAAGTCTACGTTTAACATTGTGTGCTGTGCTGTTTTTCAGATCTGTCCTGCTGTTCTCTAACTGCTGATTTCACGTGTTACAACTGTGTAGTTTCCCACCGTACTCCTATAAATGTCGATAAAAGGTGGGGATCGGTTAACTTATTTTATGGCTCATGTCCGGGATTTCTTTATGGGAAGGAAATATAATAATTGTCTTAGATATGCTGAACAGTGCTCGAAACGAACTCAACCACTTGCTTATCTTCCCAACGGCATAAATGACAAAATATCACATAATGATTACTTTGCTCGAGATGGGCGACGCGAAGTTAGGAAATCTGTTGATATTTATGTTTCTGGCCTAAAAAGGCTTGAAGATAGGTCAGAGTGAGTTTTATCATTTTGTCACATTTTTATTTTGTCACCAACCGTCTAGGGAATTTAGTTAACACTCTCAAGTGGTCGAACTCTGATACTAGGTGTTCGACATCATGTACATCGTAGGCTGCTAACGAGGTGAAAAATTAACAGCCACGTAAAATTTAACTCGACCGATCTTGTAATCTGATTGTCCTAATACCTATTAAGCTTGTACTAGCCAACTTCGACCCTAGTTTATGTTGTCTGCGATCCCGAGTTCTTTCGTCCCAATCACCGTCTTGTCTCTAGAAAAGGGAAATCTTTGGAATTAATAAAAAAATTGTACTGCAATTATCCATTTTATCACAGTGTCTGTATCCTTTTTAAGCTGTCGATTATTTCCAAATCAAATCCTCTTGGTATGATGTCCTCAGATTAGTTTCAAAACTGCATTTATAAATTGAGAGCAGTAAACATTAATGTGTCTTTCATCTTATTAATTCCATATATCTTCGATGATTCTTATCTATATTGTTTGTAGAAACATTTTCAACAATTAAAGATAGCTACTCTGAACTAGTAATTGATAGTCTGAAATAATCCTTATTGCGAAGTGACGACTCAGTCAGTGGGTTCTACCCATGATAACTAGTTCAAATGTTTACAATTAAATTCTATACGCGGGTCATTCCTTACTAATAGATTCAATCACTTGTTATTCTTGTGTATATTATGTGTTGGAAACAAAAATAACTACATCCTAGTTTTATCGGATACTTCTTGATCGCTAAGATGTATTTTATAGGCTCGTCTGGATTACGAATTATTAGGTTACCTAACAGTTCGTTGATCTTTCCTCTTAGAGAGATAGCTAATATTAGTAAAATAACTTGGTGACTTTTGAATGACTAAGAAAATAGTAAGCTAGCTCAAGTCAGTACCCAAGTACATTTTTGTGCATTAGGATCTGATCCTGACTTTATGATTATCAATGCTACAAGCGTGGCCAAATAAAAGTAGATAGAGAGGAATCTCAAACCTACAACTTGTTGGAAATCAGGTTCTCCAACCGCCAATCTATCATGAGCTTCTTGAGTAATTTCTTTTTTACATGATGGTACTGACTAATGTAGATGTTTGTGTATGATAAGTACAGAGATGGTGTGAATTTGAATAGCTAGTCAACATAGCACTGAATATAATTAAAAAGGTATTAGTCCTACCAAAGATAAGATAAATATAAAGTTAGTCACGAAACAAAGAAATACTTGGGATTAGATGATGCATTGTTTAACGTCCTCTCGGTCATTAATCAGGCTTTCTCAGTATATTTTACAAACGATAAAACTGGGTTTGTCAGCACTTTTAATTATACGTATGACGATGTACACTATGTACTCGAGCTACTACATACAGTTTAGTTGGCATTATGATTAAGTCACTTAGTGTAGTTTTTTATATGCTTAAAATGCAGTAACCTCACATTTCAGTGTTATTTTTACTCGCTCCATGTTTGTATTTTCTTCCTGTGTTAAAAATTATGAACTGGCTATCAGTCAATTGTTAAGCTTCTTGTGTACATTCAGTAATATGCGATTTGTTGAGATGGTTTTGTTCTATATATTCTTGTATTATTTATTTATTATTTATTTAAACATATAAATATTGGTACAAGGAAGTACCAGATAACTATGCGCCTCACAAATCTCATTCGATTTGTGTGAGGGCTGTGATACTGCCCAGGTGCCCAGACTGAAGCAGGTGGTTTTCTTAGGGGGCCACACCCCGAGCCTTTGACCTAAAGGTCTGATCCATAAGGCCGTCGAGCATCGTGAGGAGATGCAGTCCCATGGTAGCCGGTGACCAACAGCAGGATCATTCGCCATTCGTTCCATCAGGATACTGGAGCCCATGTGCACCATTGGTTTGGAATGAGGGTTTTCCAACTCACCTAGGTGGATTCTCCACATCCACCAACCTGGTTGAAGCGCCAGACATTCGCTTTTCGTCCTCTCACTTTTGTGAACAACACCCCCGCCACGAGAAGGCAGTGAGTAGGACTTCCCTGGCAGAGGCTATATATTCGCGTGGCCATATGAGAGCATTTCGAGAGGGAGAGCAGACTCTCTCCACTCTCGGCCGTACCAGGACATTCTTGTCACTCCTGGTAATATAACATATTCTATATTCTCACGTAATAAGTGTTACAGATGTTTGATTTTATTGTGTTTATTTAATATTTGCACTTTGTTTATCGTTAGTTCTCTTTCTGTTTGACTGTTGTGTCGATTGTCATTCCTTCATTGTGTTGTTAGTCCCACTTCTACATGATCAGTAACTTTCGATTATGAGCTATGTTTTTTCAATCTCAATGGGAAGCTACTTATTATTGATATCAGGTGTTACAGTGATACAGCATCATCAGGTTGTGTGGTTAATAAAGTTACAAAAATTACGTGTGGTTGATACCGTCTTTCTAAGTATGTATAACTAAACCTGAAATAGCTCCTCCTTCCTGTACTATATCCTTATATACAACCTATAATTTATATACTACTACCACCACTAAATTAATTACTTCTATGAACCCGGTGTTCATCTTGTTGTGCTAACGAGGTATGGCAACTTGGACCGATGCATAAATGTGCCTGGTCCTACGTTGTAGCTGACTGACTGACTGACTGAAATAGCTTTCCACAATTCCCTCTGGTGACTCACTGCATTTTCAGCCTTATTTGTTTGGACCACTATTTACAGTAAAATATTTTTCATCTAGATCTAGTGTGAAATCTGTAGTGTTTGCTTTCTTGACGAGAGGAGTGTATTTTTGTGTAGTCCTGAAATAGTCGCTTTTAGTCGTGATAAATTCATGTTGTAGGCGCCAATTATTTCTAGATATTCAGTGGATTCGTAAGTTAGTATGTTAACTAAAACATTACCTAAATAGTTACTGTTCCAAGCTGTCGCTTATATGCGCAGTACATACTCAGTAAAAAAGATATAATTTGTAGTGCTGAAGAATTTAAAGTTCATAATGTATCAATCTGAAATAACGTGAGAACTGTGATACATTGTTCTGTAAATATTTCACTTTTCTTCAGGGCGTATTGTGATTAGTAGTGGGTTGGTAAATTGGATGCCACAAGTTCTCAATGGTGAAACTATTGGTTTTATGGGAAGTAAATTCATCTCGGTTGGATTAATTAGTTGAAGATTGCGGCAACTGATATGTATCTCAATGTCACCATGATGATTAATGAGATGTTTTTGTAGTTTGTGCTGTATACGGACAACTATGTATTGTGTTATGAACTGTACTCTCAACCTTCCATACCCTTATGTCGATCAATCTCATCTTTCTTTTAGTGTAAGTTTACTTCCTGTGGCTGATATATTACATGTAAATAGGTTAAATTATATCGTATTTCATTTTTCAGGTCTAAGCGTCCAAATGTTCTATCAAAATCGATTGATGTTGTCCCGGGACAAAAGTTTGACTGGGATAAACCAGTAGAATCAAAATGAACTAAATCATTTGGTTTCTCTCGCTCCAACTATTCAGTATTTGGGTACATAAAGTGATTTTGATTCATTTCACCTAACGTTAAGTGTTTTTTCCCGTTCTAGACATCATCCATTAAGCATTATATAGCCCTTTGTTACTCGTAGTAACGTAAAAAGTATGTATATTTCATATTTTGGTCTTACCTTTTTTCTATATAGTTATTGTTAGTGGTTTTGATGATACGTAATTTACGTCCATCCAAGACATGGATTTGACGTTTGTTGATTGCCTTTGTTAATAAAATAGTAATAGTGTCTTTCGTAGTATCTAATTTCCCAAGACAATATTTTGTTTGGAATTCAGTATGCTAATGACTACTTTCTTTTTGTTTTAAGCATTATATGGGTGGTCGGTTACTGGGGTATTGTTTATTTCATTCTATACATTTGGGCAAACAATTTCAGATCTTAATTATAACTTTCCAGCTGAAAATTCAATGCTATTTTGAGAAACACCACCTAAAGTATCCAACCATTGATAACCTTCACATCCAAAACCTCATTTGGAAGGCTTGAATCACTCTACATGGTTCAGGACAATAGTCGATGGCTGTATAGACTTATTCCACAGCTAATCTGGTTGCCTCCACCTTGTGTAAGACCTATCAGTACATTAGACAGGATAGCGCTCAAAGTGGCTGATGGCTGGCGAATAACAGAGTGTATCCGACTGTGATATTAAAATAGTCTCAGATTCTGTTATTCTTTGAATGGTTTGATAAAAAAACAATATTGACTTCTCGATTCGAAGTAGATTATTGGTTTTCTTAAACAGTGGTTATGGGTTCTGGATAATTATGTATAACATTGCTAAACAAGTTTCTGATACCAGACATAACCAGAAGAGCCATATCATCATAACATTTCTGAACGGCTGGATATATGTTAAAAGTAGTGTAGTAATTCTCAAACCAAGTTGTCATATCTTCGTGAAATACAGCTGAAGAGATAGATAGACGGACAGACATCACCAACAGGTGTACCCAGGCCGAAGTTTTCATATCTGAATAACGCGAGATGAAAATAAAAAAAGAGGTCAAAACAATATAGTAGTGGTATTAAAAATGAGAACTAAACTGTGGGGATGCAATTTGAAAAGAATGTGGAAAGAAGGGTCATAAATCTCAAGATTTCAGAGAAAAAGAGTGATCGCATCTGGGCTACTGTGAACGATTCTGAGCCATGTTATCCAGATTCTGCAATCCTTGGGCACGAACACTAACCAGGTAGTTTGCACCTACCTACAGGGTTCAGATCAACATTCAGTGACTTCATAAATTGATGCTAGTTTTGGTTTAAGCACCCCTATCTTTCTCCCAACCTATTTCTGCACTGGTAAGCATCGCTTGTCGCGATAGACAGTCTTTTGAACATGTCGCAACCACCACAGTTGACGAAGACTCACTATCTCATCAACCGATTTACTACCTCTGCCAAGTAACTTTGCCTGACTTCAACATTGCTTAATCAGTCGTTCTGCGAAATAGAAGGAATGCTTCTAAGACATCTGTCTTCATAAATCTCTAGCCTACGTATATATTTTACTTCCATAGACCATGTTTCTCAGCAGTAAGGTGAAACTTTGCGGTCTACTGTCCGGTATATGCGCTCTTTGGTCACCGGACGGACGTCTCGCCTATACCATAAGTAGCGCAAGTTGAAAAACACTAGCCGCTCTTACTAAATCCGTTCTGAGATTTTATCGGGCACCAACTTGCCAGGACTAATGAAACTTCGAAAATAAGTAAAGTAGTCAACACACAGCTACTTCACTCCCTATTATTAGTTTGTGCGTTGGCGCGAAGTAGTCCAGGAGTTACATTTTGAATTTGGAGAAAGGAAAGTGGATTCAGAACACGGGCTATTGCTAGAATTTTAGGTATATCAATCAGACGTATCCTCTGTTGTTTTCACAAAACGAGTTTGATCCTTATAAGTTGGAGCAATCAGTGACCGGCACCAGTCAGATGATAGTATGTCTAATCCCCAGATCTCAGTCGACCGCTGAGAATTAACCACTATCTTTAAAGATCTCCAGGGCTAAGGCATCAGGGCTTGATGTACTTCCTCGTTTTAGATTACCTGCGGCCCTTCCAACCTAATTAAGAGTTGTGAAGTCTGTGCCAATTTCCCGTTCCTGTTGATTGTGGATAGAGGGTAGCTGAAGTACAGTTGAACTGCCCTCTAAAGTGTTGTGTCCATCTTTTTTATTTCCTGGTTTGAACGCACCGTAGTTTTCTGAGATAGTCTCACTGAGGCCTGTATTAACACCTGTTTCTTTGATTAGTCGGTAGAATTAAATGTTACCAGTTGCCGTTTTCTTTTCACTAACCCCTACTGCCCCCAAATGCCCTGGTACGGCCGAGAGTGGGGAGAGTCTGCTCTCCCTCTCGAAATGCTCTCATATGGCCACGCGAATATATAGCCTCTGCCAGGGAAGTCCTACTCACTGCCTTCTCGTGGCGGGGGTGTTGTTCACAAAAGTGAGAGGACGAAAAGCGAATGTCCGGCGCTTCAACCGGGTTGGTGGATGTGGAGGATCCACCTAGGTGAGTTGGAAAACCCTCATTCCAAACCAATGGTGCACATGGGCTCCAGTATCCTGATGGAACGAATGGCGAATGAACCTGTTGTTGGTCACCGGCTACCATGGGATTGTATCTCCTTACAATGCTCGACGGCCTTGTGGATCAGACCTTTAGGTCAAAGGCTCGGGGTGTGGCCCCCTAAGAAAACCACCTGCTTCAGTCTGGGCACCTGGGCAGTATCACAGCCCTCACACAAATCGAATGAGATTTGTGAGGCGCATAGTTATCTGGTACTTCCTTGTACCAATATTTATGTGTTTAAATAAATAAATAACCACTACTACTAACGATCACTGTGTAGGCTCTTGTTCGTTTATGCTTGAGTTGTTGTTGCTCTTTATAATTCTACGAGTGACAAGATGAGTTTTCGAGCTTCTATCTACTCATTTGGTTTCACTGAAATCCATCGGTCTTTCGTAACTCTTAATTTAAACTGTTAATGAATGTTATTGCTGTATTAGTATCTGCTATTTCCATAAGTTTGTTCAGAGTGAACCTTTTCTCTGCGATCGACTAGGTTCCTAGCTAATTCTTTCATGAATGCATCCTTTCCATAATCGAATTGATGTCTAAGACATCTTTTTGCTGTGACATTCCCTACGTCTAGCGAAACGCATAGGAATACTTGCTCTCACTTGTATATGGTCAAAGTCCGAGCATGTACTTCAGTGAGAGCAGCAGTCTTCTATCAAGCTTCTTCAAAAATGGCTGGTGGTGATACGATCTATTTATATTCATTGTATTGATGTTGGGAGTCGCCATGTTAGACAATGTACTCGTGCTTAGAGTTTACACTTGCTAGGAACAATTGGTTGAGCGAAAATGCATCAAGTGGTTATCGTTAGGCTGGGCTTCATAAGATCCACTAAAATGTTTTTGAGTTTGATTCAGCCAAACTACTTGGGGGTTAATAATCGCCTGTTACGACTTCTACATCTAAGGATCTAACGTTTTGAAGGAGGTCATACATTTTTCTGTGAGACTCGTCGTCTACTTCACCCGAGCTGCAGTCAGTGATGGTATTTGCTGAAACTATAAAGAGGCAGTGACACATGTCTACCTTCATAGGTTGTCTTCGTGCCATTGAGACGGACAGTACATAATTGGCGACAAGGATTCAATCAAGAAGTCCCTGTTCATGTTTAAAACTTAGTGCTGTACTTACTCCGACAAGACTACGAGTTGCTGTCGCGTCTCAGCTGCTTTCCATACTGGCGTGTTTCTAGAACACTGTGCATCAATGACACAAGGTTCCAGGGTCTAAGGTTGTGAGACATTATTGAAGTTGATGTAGGCTCCGGAAATCAAAAGCTTCAGTGAGTATTTTGAAGCAGCATTTCAGGGAATCTGGGGTAACATTGCTTGGGATTGAATATTTCTTGGTGGGACCTGAAAAGGAAACTTTTAGTAGTAGTTTTAACACCCTGGAGACATGGCCTCACAGGTCAGGGTACAATCGTTTGAGACTAGTCACATAGCTTCCTTGTGGTAATTCTTCGATATGTTAGCTCTGTATTTCAAAGGGTCTTACAGCAGGTGACGGGGACCCATAAGGTATGGCACTTTCGTCGTCGACCTTTTTAAACTCTTATTGTGAGAAGGCAGCGTTGCTACAGACGCAGGTTGTCTGCAGGAAAAAACTTACTGCTGTCACACCCCTGTACAATCAGGGGCAGGACTTCACCTTTAATTTCCCGTTCCCCATCTGATCTGTTTGATATGATTCTCAAAGAAATAAGTTCTAGACAATATCATTCGACGGGATCATTACAATATGCAAGCCTAACAACCACATTAAGGTAGCAACTGCGGTCGAAGAACTATAATGGACTAGGAATTATTCGCAAGGTAAGCGAAAAGTATCTGGAGATAAGTAAATCCTGTTTAGTAAGTGTCGGGATTTGACGGTTTTAGCCACTCATCTTTTCCATTGTACCAGTCACTACATTATTCTATCAGATAGAGCATTAAACTGTCTTCAACAACTATTATTGAGAAAAACATTGCCCTTAAAATTGGTCAATTGCCGTCTTAGTCGTTTATTCACCGTCCTTGCAGACATCTAGGGTAATTTATTGGATATCACTATTCTTTCATAATTGAAATGTCTCACTACATCAATTAAGTTCGGAGTTCATAGATTAATGTTTTCAAAATTTACTAAGAGTTGTGATTTCAAGTTACATGAAGCACTAGTTAAATCCATATAGAACAGTTGGAATATGGCTAGCAGTGAAATTCTGGAGGCAGATTCCGTCTTACTTGTAACTTTCCAGCTGACGATACCTGAATCCCAGAGTTGACGCACACCCAGCCTCAGGGAATGTCTCCTAACATGAAAGATAATTCAATGTGCAACGATATAATCTTTACTGTCCTCAGAAACCTTTTTTATCGGTGTATTTGTTTTGTAGAGTAAAGTCTATTCAATAAAAATAGAACATGGGGTAAATCAACAAGTGGTTTATGAAAACTGAATCAATCGTCTTAACTATGGTGATATGTCTAAACTGATAAGTTAATTTTTTAACATAGCTGGGACCCCAAATGTAGTTAATGTATCGTGGCTCATGAAACTTACACTACTAAAAACTCGTAATTATCAGCAAAAGACCTAGCTAATAGTTGTTATACAAACTAAAATATCTGAAAGCAAATCAAGCGTAATAGTATAAAGGAATTAGGAAGGTTAAGTTAATAAATCTCACTAATTACTATGCTAAAATGATAAGATACGATGGAAGTTAACCGGATTACACAATATGTAAAGTCGCTTGAACGGGTTTTAGTTAGGAACTCCAAAATTGTTGAAAATGAGTAGTCTACACAAATGAGTTCAGAGTGGCAATTTATAAGCCAGGAATATGCCCGTTCATCAAGAAATTAAACTAATCAATGAGCCAAAGTCAGTTTCGTCCGTAATTTATTGTGATGAAATCACAATTTAAAAATCAGTTCATTCTAAAATGAAATTTTCTCTCTGAAGTAGCATGATTTGTAAGACTGCTCATGAAATAGGCTAGCTTGTATATATTTTTCAGAAGCTACTACTGACTAAAATATGAGTAGTCTTATTGTTTATGCCCAAATCATAACAAGTAATTTCAGCTGGAGAAAAAGAACCTTACAAATGATAAAAATGTATTTATTCATAAAAAATCAGAAGACTCGAAATTAGATATAATCTAGGAATTTATGAGTTTGTTGAACATGTAAATCGGTTTCTAAATGTTGGTCGGTTCCATATTTATTTAGATGACTTCGATGTGATATATAACTTACAGATAATTTTCATATACTGACAATCAAGAATGTAACAATTTCTGGTCTAACTCGCTATGGGATCATGAATACACAAAGCCTATAGGAATGATTAGATACTGACTACATAGAGCAGTCAAAAGCTCAATTTCGGAACATCTAGTTAGTTTTCGTCACTACTTCACTAGAATCCTTCAAAATCATCCATACAGTCAAAAAAATCAACTCAAGAGGAGTGCAAATAAAAAGCTTATGCACATCACTGGGTATAGATATCTACCAGTTAAGGCCTGACCTTTGCTTACAAAAACAGTATTACCTTATTCACAACATCTGTAGCTCTTCTTGGGTTGCTACTGATCAAAAAGCCCAGGTGAATGAGCAAGGTTGGGTATGGGGGTCAGCATCCCCATACCATAGATGACAACCTTGCTAAAAAAAACGCTAACCAAAATAAACAATTTACACTGTGCCCTGGGAGTTAAACGGTCTTCTCTCAGAAGAGTCATGACAGCTCATTGAGAAGAGCGATATTCTTCGGGAACTCTGCCTGTAGCTCATCCGGGGCCTAATGCCGGTCCCAAACCCGGATAAAGGAGGAGGGTTGAGCATAGGGTTGGCGGCCCCATCCCGTAGAAAACCATCTCGCTAAAAAACGCTAACCAGAAAAAATCATTCAAACCATTTAAACTCTGCCCTTCAAGTTGAAGAAAGAATTATGACACTTATGATGAAAGCCGAGTTCCCTCGAAAGTCATGAAGCCGATGTCCTTTGTGACAACCAGAGCAACAACTTTTATAGGAACAATGAACTTCCGGACAGTGTAGGAGACCGAGAGAGTCATCCAAATTGCTGAAGATCAGTGAAACACATTGGACGCAAGTTCGACAACAACGACTAGCTTCAGGGGAACTTCTCTTATACTCCGGTCATGAAGAAGAAAATGCCACACATACACAAGGAGTGGCATTGATGCTGTCCAAACAAGCACAATATGCACATGGACTTCATCGGATCACATTACACACAACCAAATCGACCATATCTGCATCAACAAAAAGTTCAGAAGGACGATGGAGGGTGTGAGAAGGAGGAGAGGAGCTGATATAGTATCAGATCATCACTTGTTGGTCGTCATGATAAAACTCAAACTCCAGAAGCATTGAACAACGTGGCGGACAACATCACAAACTTTTATTACGCCTTTTCTTCGGTATACTGACAAACTCAACATATTCAGGATAGCCCTCAACAATAGGTTCCAGGCCTTGCGTGATCTATTCAATGGATAGGGAACTACCATGGAGAACAACTGGAAATGGATCAGCATCTGGAGGGAAGCACGGGCATCAAGAAGCATCATCATCAGGAATGGATCTCTATGGAAAGCCTGGAAAAGATTCATGAAGGGAAGAACAAGAAGACAGAAATTAACAGTTGTCAAACAGGAACAGAAAAAGTCAATGCACAAGCTAAATACGCAGGAGCAAACAAACAAGTGATGAGGAGCATTACAGTTGACAAGTAGAAATACGGGGAAGACATAACAACGACAGTAGAAAATGCTGCAAGATAAGCAAATATGAAACAACTATATGACACAATGAAGAAACTGTCGAGGAAATATAGTGAATCAGAGAGACCTCTCTTGGGCAAAGAAGGCAAACCAATCACCGAGATTCAATAACAGTGTAACGGATGGGTGGAACACTTTGAAGAACTCTTGAATAGGCTAGCCCCACTGGATCCACTGGACATCGAAGCAACACAAAAACATTCCTATCGATTTCACTCAACCAACGATCTAAGAAATCAGGATGTACACCAGACAAATCAGGAGTGGGAAAGCAACAGGATCAGACAATATACAAGCCGAAGCACTAAGGTCATACATAGAAGCAACTGAAAACATACTTCGCATTTTATTCAGGAGGATTTGGGAGGAAAAACGCGTGCCACCGACAGACTGGAGAGAAGGACACCTCATCAAGATACCAAAGAAAGGAGATCTGAACAGATGTGGAAACTACAGATGCATCACACTACTCTCGGTACCAGGAAAAGTTTCTAATAATGTTGCTTAACCGGGTGATAGATTCAGTATACGGCAAGCTTCAGAGTCAACAAGACGGATTATTTATGTATCGGTCGTGCTAAAACTAAATCGCAACCCTACAGATCATCGTTGAGAAACTGGAAAGGATTAATCAGGACAGTCGGACTTAGAATTCTGCTCTTCGGCTTATGCTTCCCCTTGAGGAGTAACAGTCATAAGTGAGTAAGTAAATCGTCATACTTCCATGATCTTAACCTTCCTTTGTATCTTCCACAACCTATCATCTTTCTCTAATTTCCAATTATTTACAAAAGTATTAATTAACTGTTATTACAACTTTTAATTATTCTGTTCTTTATAGTTATGATCTGGACAGTTCACCGTAACTTTTTCACAAGCAATTTATTACGTAACTTCCTTTCAATATCTGATTTTCGTAAACAAATCATTACAAGTAACCACTTCAGATCTTTCAATTATTCAAAACCATTCTATTTTACTATAGACTACTATTTCAGCAAATAACATTAATTATAAATAAGATTGTACAGATTAATTGAGTGATATCATTAACAAAGAAATTTTCATAGTTGAAAGCGTGAGTCAATTGAAGCTAGACCACCAGGGAAAACCTGGAAGCACTGGATGGCCGTTTCGTCCTATTGTGGGACTCCTCAGTAGTGCGCATCCACGACCTCACCTCGCGAGATTCAAACCCAGGACCTACCAGTCTCGCGCCAGAGCACTTCGAGAGGCAAATCCAAGAGTTCTAGTGAGAGGCAGTGACAAGTGGAGTTCAAACCACTTATAAACGAAAACAATATCTGTATAATTAATAGATCATTTGTATTTTTCTCTAAATGACAGGATCCAAAAAATAAGTTACGCTGGACAGTATGTAGTAAATGATATTACCCTTAAGGTTCCAGATAGTTTCGAAAGCAGGTTTTGTAGTCAGAAAACAGATTTGTTTGAGTTTGACGACCATCTGAAAACAGATTAACTAGGAAAGCACGATTTCCTCAACTTAACGGTGGACTAATAGATTTAGGTATTTGGGTATAAATATTTATTGGAATCATGAACAATGTGTGCTTACTACCTTGAGTCGAACGTATTTCATTCAACACCCAGTTCACTACACGAAGGCGTTATATGTGTACGTTTCTGAATTCCATGCTACTGAAGAGTTTTATTTAAGTTTTTCGTTGAACATTAACTAAATGACTAGACACTGTGAGATTGTATTTGTCATCTAGATTTTCGGAGCAATCAAAAAGCAACTTTGGACCAACTCTCATATTTGTTTACGTTTACTAAATAGACATCTGTGACTTCTTGTGGAAGTGTCATTTGTCAAGAAACTGAAGCCAATATCTTTTATAGCTATATTAAGAGATATTACTGCAATAAAGTCTGAGTTTTGTGAGTATACTGGTCCTATTTCAAATTTCCCTATGGAAACAGGTCTCGCCCAAAGGTTAGATTGTTATGATGGTTCAATTGACTTGATAAAATTACTGACAATGTACTTGTGGAGCTGACCCTAAAGATCAACAGAATAGATACGAGGAAACAGAAGAATTGGGCGACTGGCTAAACATAAAAATATACGAGAAGGATTAAATGCTATCATTTGCATATAAAATATTAAGCCAATAAATTATGACCTACCTCCTATAAATGATTTATTAGGGATAAGGTGGATGATCACAAGGTAGCCAGCGAATCTTCTCTTCATTTGCTGAAACATAGATAAAATAAGATTATTTGCGATTTAGTAACCAACTAGTATTTATTTTTGTATAATAAATAATGAGGTGACGGGTTTCATACAGCAAGTTTAAAATCTTTGTTTAGCTTTCTGTTTGAAGTAATCAAGCTGTTTACGAAAAGTTGATTAAAGAGTGATTTAAACAATTATTTTCACTCATAATTACCTATTATTTTCATTGCACATAGTGTAATAGGGCATTTCTAAATTTAGACTACTATTAATTAATGCCTATTGAATTGCAGAGATTACAATCAGTAAATTAATCTTAATTGTTTATTGGTTTCGCTTTTCATAACCATCAGGAATACTGAGTTTAGTCTTTGGTGGAATCATACTCGTATGTAGAACAGTATTTGATTGCTTATGTATGATGCACTAAACCTCGAATTGGTGACCCGTAAATGTGGAGGGAAAAATATAACATTATTTATAGCGTAGTCATGTTCATCATTTACACCTTGAACATGATATTGATTGTTATTCGATTAATAAAATAATTCAGTGTTATGAGGGATTAGTGGTTGTCTGAATATCTGAACTTAATATCCGCCACCAGGATTATGAATGATGCCATTTCAAATCTTCAGTGGGATATGAGCCTCCCTGAATTTATAGGTACACCTCACAAATGAGTGTTAACAAGCATAAAACTATGTCAAAGGTAACTTCATTGAAGTGAAACTAGAAATTCCAAATCCCGTGGTTATAATGATATGGAATTTACAAACAGTATGTAAAATCATTAATATTTGTTATTCGTTTTTCCTAATATTGATTTGTGATGAAGTATATCATGACAAGTATGTAATTGTGACCTTAATTTATTGAACAGTTGGTTTTGCTTTGTCTAAATCATAAGCATATAAAATAGGCGTTTGATTCCATACAATATGCTGTTAAAACATAAATACCATGACATTTCTTACAAAATGTCGAAAATCATATCATATATATATATAAATCTAAGAAAACCAACAAATTACAAGATTACACTAAGTTTGCTTATATCCCCATATTTTTCCTTTGATACTTATTCCAAACTAGTTGCTTTTTTAAATAACAGGTGAAAATAAGTAGTGGTTAGTGTTAGATCGGCTTACAATAAACTCTATCAGAGCCTCCAGAGAGGCTCATAAAGAGACCAACCAATCAGCGATTAGTTAGAAGCTATGCTACTAAAATGCTACTAAAATAACAAGGTCCTGATTGGCTGTTAACATACTGTTACTATGGGATCTCAAGGTCTTTTAGCTACTATAAAACCCCTGTTTTTCTGTACATAATTGAACCTTGTAGTAAAGTGCTTCTCTGATACTCGTGTCTTCTCTCTGGTCTTCCAAGTCGCTGAGTAGTGCTAGCCTGGGGTTATCCGAATAGCTAGGATCTGAATAAAACGTTCAACTTACGAGTCATAACAATTGGCGACGAGGATTCTGGAAAAAAATACAGCAGTCGGTAACGTATTTTGGAATTAAATAAGCTGTAATAATTGCCGGCGGGTTTTGGAGTTATTATTAGCAGTAAAAAAATGACGATTTCTCTGGAACAGTTGCAGATAATATTAGAGCACCAGCATCAGCAGATGTTAAGCTTCCAGCAGAAACTATTTGAAACATTTTTGGACAAATTTTTCACTAAACAAAACGTCTCAGGAAATAAAGAATTTATTTATAATGCAGATAATGGTGCGGAAATGGCCGTCTCAGAAGAACGCCAAGTTGAGGGTTCAATTCCCTTTATATCTGACGGAAAATGCAAAATTGGTAAGTTGGCCGGTTCAGAGCAAGACAATATCTTGCCTAATGCACATGAAACTGTGACAGTATCAGATGAGCAAGAAAAAGAAGGTTCCGCAGACAACCCCAGGAGTCCAGAATCAAATGAAACACCATTAAGTCCGCCCATATCTGAAGACAAACTTAAGTCAGAACAGAACTACAGTTTGCGTGATGTTGGCCAAGAAAACTGGAAGAACGCATGTCCAGAAAATAACTGGAACAGTACAGTTAACCAAATTGCGCCAAATGTGATTCGAAATCATGGGGAGACAGAAGCCTATAATATGGGTTCGCGTAATGATGCCCATAATTCTGATGAAATTTCGTATAAAGATGAGAAAACTAAGTCGGTCGAATCAGATGGTGATCAAAAATTTAATGCGAATTTATTAGATGCCGATTCTCCTAGTTATCTAATATCCTCTAGTGAAAATTTTAATGAATTTGATGGAGATATTTTAGAAAAGCTGAATTCCGATAACCTAAAATCAAATATCGTTCATCATCATCTATTCATTTCTAGTAGATTCTGCGTTCAATACGAGAAATATGTCATACTTATTGTATTTTGGAGATATGAAGATCCAACATTATTTCGTGGGGGAGGAAATGTTGGAGAATTTCAACTTACAGATAATTTTTTCAAAAATCAGAATCTAATTTTCGAATCTTCAAAAAAAGGGAGGTGTTAGGTCGGCTTACAATAAACTCTATCAGAGCCTCCAGAGAGGCTCATAAAGAGACCAACCAATCAGCGGTTAGTTAGAAGCTATGCTACTAAAATGCTACTAAAATAACAAGGTCCTGATTGGCTGTTAACATACTGTTACTATGGGATCTCAAGGTCTTTTAGCTACTATAAAACCCCTGTTTTTCTGTACATAATTGAACCTTGTGGTAAAGTGCTTCTCTGATACTCGTGTCTTCTCTCTGGTCTTCCAAGTCGCTGAGTAGTGCTAGCCTGGGGTTATCCGAATAGCTAGGATCCGAATAAAACGTTCAACTTACGAGTCATAACAGTTAGGTTGTTTCAGTTGACTTTCTTCTGTACATAAAATCATATTTTAGACGACGTTTCGCGATCCCCTTAAAATTAATCTATAAGGTCTTCAGAGTCTGGGAAAAGACAGAGATCATTCTGTTCGGCCAGTGTACGTCCTATAAACGTCTAGAAAATTGACAAATAGCGTGACTTTCATTTGCTCTGTTTATCTACCGTTACGTCGCCACTTGTGGGTGAATTTTGACCATCTAGAAATAGGTTTAGAAGTCATTATCAAGCCTTCAAGTATTAGATTTACCATAAATCTGGTTATTTCGAAGCATATTCGATAATTTTCATTCTATTACTGTTTCATTTTCTCTTTGTAAGCTTTCGTTTATATGATGTTCAGCATGATCCATACGTTAGTTTGATGAACATTATTCAGTACGTCAGACGAAAGCGACCAATATTAACTTCCAAAGGAATATGTACGGTAGTCAAATGTAAAGTTATGAATTTACGACTAATTTCTCAGTATATTTATAAAAAGTCATAAATTACCACGTTTCTTAAAGTTACTTTCAATAAGAAGAGAAATCAAGTATAACTTAGGAAGTGTTCAACATGTGAAAATGTATTTTCTTTATTCACCAAACTCAGATACTTCAGTTTCTTAGTGTTTATATTTACTTTTAAGCAGTGGGATAATTTACGGCTATAATCTTCAATTTCCAACAGTTTCCAGTTTACTTAAATTCCGTGGTTAATTGCAGGTCGAGATGAAAAATAATTTCCAAGCGGATTATTCAATTACATGCAAGTTGTATAAATGCAAGTACTTTGAGAATCTCCTGTTTAGTTTTCCTCACTTTTGATTGTAGCTATAGAGACTGAGAAGATAACGGGTAGAAATCATAGTATTCTTCATTTTTTCCAAGTATTTAGAGATAGGTTTCTGGAGAAAAATAAAGTTTCAATTAATTTCTGAGTCTAGTAACAAAACTAATGAGTTGCATTGAATGTAATTCTCAATTTATTTAGGTTGAATGTGACTTTTGTAGATCATATTATAAGTCAATTGACAGTACTCATTTTTCTATTTGAAGAGTTTTGGCTTATTCTTCACTCCAACTTATAACTTGTATTTGGATATAATGTTGTAACCAGTAGGTAAGTTTTCTAATCATCATTTCATTTTCCCCATTAATTACTCGATAGACACTTGACTAGTTTCAATAATTAGTTAAATAATACTACTGCAAGTTACTGGGATTTAATAATCGGATTAAAGAGATTCAGGCACTAGATGATAGTTCTGTTAGTTTGGATTAGAGTTGGCCCAACGTATATTTAGAATAATTGAGCTTGGGTAATTTGAGCAAATGATTTCTGACAAACTACTGTTAAAAAATAAAGTGGTTTCTAGTAAGTTATATAGATCTACATGATTCGTTGTACATTGATAAGATTAAATTCCGCTTTTAAAGAGGGATTCAAATAAAACTTAGTACGAGTATGGGGATTTGTGGAGATTGTAGTATTTTCACAGTTGAATTCACGAGTCGATGCCGACTCAATGGTCTAGAGGTTAAGCGTTCGCGCTTGAGATGGATGATCTTCTGTTCCAGTCCCATGTGCAGGATCATGGATGAGCGCTGCTGGGGAGTCCCATACTAGAATGAGACAGCCGTCTAGAGCTTCTAGGTTTTCATAGGCGGCCTAGCTTAGATCGACTCATGAATTCGACTGTAAAACTTAGCATCCTTATTAGTATGAGTTTGAGTTGCCCTGCCGTTTTAATCTCTGAAAAATCCTCATCATATTAAAACACAGATATATGAACGAGGAATATTCTTTTCAATAATATCTCTTCAGATTCTAGAATTATATATCCAAATTAATAATCCAAAAATTGGCCAAGTTTAAGGCAAAGTACATCATTTAAAATTATAACATGTGAATCAAGGATTGTTTGTAATATAAAATAAAATAAGATAGTTAATGTTGGGGTGACTAATATGAAGTTTTAACTTGAATAAGTCTATAAGTGAAATGAAATTTTGAGATAAATGATCAGAATACATATGTTCAACATGGCGCGAGAGAGAGAATAATGGAACTACAAATCAGAAATTACTTAAGCATATTGAAGAAATTATACTGACATTGAAAACGGATTAAGCCTACCAGTATACGGCGTAGCGACCGTTTGACGATTGGATTAATTCACTCACTTGTAAACGTATATCAGACTAAATAAGTACGTTGATAAAAATATACAGGAAAGATTGTTACCAAGTTATTATTAAAAGGATCCGATAAATAGAAGAAATACTGACTGTGATTTTTAAAACATCTTACTAGTTATTCGATGAATAACCAATAGTAAATTGATTTAAGGATATTTGGCTAAATTCTTTACTACCACGGATCATCTTAAAACAATCAGTTGGGTGGAATTTGTCACTATAAATCAACTTCATTGACTATGAGAAGGCGTTTGACAGTGTGGACCGGAGAACTTTATGGAAACTTCTTCGACACTATGGAGTTCCTCAGAAGATCCTCAACATTATCCAAAACTCATATGGCGGACTACAGTGCAAAGTGGTGCATGGTGTACAGCTGACAGACGCATTAAAAGTAAGAACAGAAGTCAGACAAGGCTGTCTATCTTCGTCAACAAAAGCACGGGGAACACCAACCCAATCACATTTGATGGAGAAACTCTGGAAGATGTGGAAACATTCACATACCTCGGAAGCATCATCGATGAGCAAGGAGGATTTGATGAAGATGTAAAGGCGAGGATTGGCAAAGCAAGGGAAGCATTTCTACAATTAAAGAACATATGGAACTTGAAACAACTGTCAACCAATATCAAAGTGAGAATCTTCAATACGAACGTCAAGACAGTCCTACTGTACAGAGCTGAAACGTGGAAAACTACTATAGCCATCGTCAAGAAGGTAAACGTATTTATAAACAGTTGTCTATGCAAAATACTCAACATTCATTAGCCGGATACTATCAGCAACAACGTTCCAGCTGAAGAGGAAATTAGAAAAAGATGTTGAAAGTGGATCGGACATACATTGCTGAAATCACCAAACTGCATCACGAGGCAAGCCGTAACTTGGAATCTTGAAGGGAAAAGAGGAAGGCCAAAGAACACGGGAAATAGGAACAGATATTAAAAGGATGCATAATAACTGGTAAGAACTGGAAAGGATTACCCAGGACAGGGTTGGATGGAGAATACTGGTGTGCAGCCTATGCTCCTCCACGAGGGGTAACAGGTGTAAGTAAGTAAGCAAGTCTTTACTACCAGTTTCATAATCAGAAAAAGACAGTGATTAAATAAATTTGTGTATATTCGAGTTAAAAGCTTTTTATCCGCAATATATTATTACATATACTTATATTTTATATCTTATTTATGCATATTCCATTAACATCATCTTTAGTCAAATAATCTCCAGACGTACTTACTCCTGTAACCCCTTGTGAAGTAGCATAGAACGTCCACCACAACTCTCCATTCAACTCTGTCCTGAGTAATCTTTTCCAGTTACTATTCATCTTTTTCATATCCACTTCCAACTCCTAACACAATATGTTCTTTGGTCTCCCTCATTTCCGATTCCCTGCACGATTTCAAGTTAGCGTTCGTCTCTTGATTCAGTTTGGTGATTTCTGCAGTATAATTCCTATCCACCTCCAACGTATTTCCCTAATTTCCTCTTCAGCTGGAGGTTGGTTTGTTCTCTCCCACAGTAGACTGTTGCTGATGGTATCCGGTCAACGAACATTCAGTATCTTACGTAGACAATTGTTTATAAAAACTTGAAAATTTTGATGATGCTTGCGGTAGTTCTCCAAGTTTCAGCTCCGTACAATAAGTGTTTTTGGTAGTATTTTTCTTTATCTGATGAGGATTTGTCGTGACATCTTCCTTTATCCAAACTTGGGGCTAGGAATAACCTTAGAATGACATTAGGTAATTTTTTACGAGGTTAAATTAAACTTCAATCAGGTGATTCAAGTGTTGACGTTTTCATCAGTGGGTTTGGAGTTTCTGTATCTATGTCTCGTAAATAAAACTGATATAAATAATGAGTAAATCAACAGTTCACTTTTCACTGAGTACAATCCAGTATTCGGACGTTTTAGTAGGTTTATCATAAGAACCAGTATCAACGTAATTTGTTTCAATTTTACGTTATTTGGTTCATGAAAAAATTTAAATATATATATATATATATATATATATATATATATATATATATATATATATATGCATCTTATAAATTTGTCTAGTTTTCTTATACGTAATACAAGAAATTTAGTTTTACATGAACCGCACTGTCTTTGAAACTGCAAATCTCGGGAAAATTTTTTATTTTCATAGGTAGCGGATGTGTGTTACTTTTTCGGGACGTAAAGTAAACCGTTATCCGTAAGATAAATACTGTCATACCTTTCAAATGATTATTAAATTTAAATAATCACTTAATTGTTTCATAAATGATTATTTAACGTCAATAATCTTATAAAATAATATTTTACCGTTTATCAGATTCCCAAAAGTAGTCACCAGTCGGTTTAGGATTGGTTGTAGTAAGTGAATGTGCAATAATATGAAAACAGGAGTACAATTTTAGTTACTGATTTAAATGGAACAGAACTCACATTGATCTCATCTGAGTGTATGAATCAACAGACATGAGTGTATTTATATACGTATTTTGAGCAGCACTGACCAACTTATTGCTTGAAAAACATCAATATTGGTGTTTCAAAAGAATTACTTTCCAAATGTACAATGAACGTTCATTTTATTGTTAATAACGCATTATAGGCAAATTGATGGGATAGCAATGGATTCACCTCTAGGTCTTATCCTTACCGATTTTCTCGAGAAATTAAA